AACGTAACGCGAAGAACGTTGCTTAACAATGTAATAATGTATTTAATTTGTTTATCTTATTATAAAATAAATGTGCCGAAAAAAATTATGTAATTATAAATAAGCCCTCTGCATTTGCCGGAACAACACGCTTAACATTAACCCGTCCATAATTCCGGAATAGAATTCGTATTCCGTTTCACATAATATACGTGACACGTATTTTCCGCAACCTAGGTATAGGTAATAACCCGGTATAGTTAGGTACGACGACTGCGGTAGTGCGGTGTGTCGTATATCATACGATTGCATATGGGATATTCGCTGTGCCAAAAATTTAAAATGGCTTATAATAATAATATATACATTGGGTAATGCTACGTGTGCGAATTTCAACGCTAAACCTGGGTCATCTTTTGTGACAACAATGATGACGATTTGATGATTATTTTTTTGCTAAACATAATTATAACAATCGATATCGAGTATTGTTGATGTTCTACAAATGTGCCTGAAAAGCGGTTAAAAAAATGTTTTTTTTTTGTTATTCCGTTTTAGTAGACCTTGATGGTTGCAACAATATTGTTGATTTTCAAATCGAGTGTCGTGATTGTCAAACGTTTTCAAACGACAACCCATGACTCGAAATTGACGTACCTACAATTTTTTTGTTTTCAAACCATCTTGTTGGATAGGTATGGAATAGCATGATTAGATGCGTAAGCCGGATGCCGGAATTACATCCGGGCCGCGGTAAAACAGTCATCGGAAACATTGTATATGTATATATTGCATGACTACATGAGTACATTATAATATATCGTAGTAGAGTATATTATAATATTATTATGTCAATTTTCGTCGGCGAATATATTGTGTTAAAACAGCGGCGAATGTATGTCACAGTTGTTGGCCGAAAAAAGTCCCATGTCTGCCGCCGAGCACAGTAGAATTATCTTCCAAGAACCATTCTATTTTTGTACGATCGGCTTTTGGCTTGTGTCGCATTTTTACATTTGATACCGCCGCTGACATTACTTGTAATAGGCACGGAATAAAATAATAATAATATCAGTAACTATATTCGTGGACGTGAACTTGATTGGTGTAGAGAGAATTAAAAACAAACGCCGAACAAATAATTGAAAAAAAAACCACTCAATTCAAGTTGGGAAAGACCGACAAATATTACCGAAGCGTTTTATAGTTATAACACCGACCCAAACGATTATATTGGACTACCTACCTATATTACAATATTATTATTATTATTATTATAATTATTATATTGTATTTTTTTTGTCATTTCTCGTATGATATAATATAGACACATTAATATAATACAGGGACTGTGGTGGTCAAATGATTTTGTCTTAGGAGGCCCCTATTAGTCTGATTAGTCTGATTTTCTTCCACTCCGAACATAAAAAAAAAAATTATTTAAGGTGTTAGTCTGTTGTTTTTTTATAACTTATCAGAATAAAAATAATTTTGGTATCGAAAATTATCAATGGTTTTATCAGAATAATGATTAGAGAAAAAAAATTATTATTTAGGTACTTCATTTTTTTATTATAATAATATCATTAATATAATATCGAAAATAAAAGTTATGGGTGGGTGAGGGGAGTGGGTTATATTCACTACATCATCACCGCCGTTTGATCATCTTTATAGATACTAATTTGGTAGCTCAAACGTCTCAAACAATATACAGAATGATTACATTTTTAACATTATACACCCAGTGTCTCAAAAAATAGGTACACCTACGAAAATGGTTTATTCATGGAGAAAAAAATTATTTTTAAGAACATTAGTACTCTTTGCGATGGTGAGTATTTAGTATTTACTATTTACTGTTAAATGAATCACTCTGTAGTAATCAGTATTATAATTATATGATGCACCTATACCTATATATTAGGCAAACAATTGATAAGTAGGGCTTGTAAAAAGTCGTATAATATCGTATCAAGTTTATATTTTTAAATTGAATGAAGTTTAATTAATACCTCCTAATTGAAAAATGTTAAAAATTAACATTAGCACTCTCTGGCTCCCCCTCCTTTAAGATTCTAATTTCTAATACCGGTTGCGTCTATACATACAAACATAATATATATGTAGGTACCCGGCAGTCGGCACACACGACACACCAGTAATGGGGTTCGGTAAGACTTTATTCAACGATGATAATAATAATAATCGTGTATAAACGAATCCGGGATTCAAAATGACGTCATATGTTAGATATAACGTTTGAAAAACAAATTCGACCTACATATTATAATAATATATCGGTTATTGTGTTTTCTGCGTTGCGTCGCGGCTAATGATCCGACAACACTTGTATAACAACATGATTATAATAGGTACGATATTACGATGTACACGATGCAATTACGTAGATTATCAGCATTGCAGCGGACTGCGTGGCGTTATCATTATTTTTCCTTTTTGTGTGTTTCCCTAAGTCTTGAGACAAGGGAAACCAAAACGACGATGATGACTTAAGTTAGTAGCTACATACAATAATCTATATGATTTGCGAGTATATCGCGATATACGCCGTACCTAACTGTACGTAAAGGACGTAATTCGATAGAAGGACGTTCGGACAAAACAAAACCTCCAAGACTCGATACGGTCCGGCGCGTAAAGAATGCCTAGAAATAAAACGTTGGCTGTGTCGTGTACAATCATTATTAAGATCGAATGTATCACGGCGCGAACCTATATAATATACGATCGTATTTTTAAAGTCCTTTCCTTTTTTGTGTCGGCTGTCACGAAAAGAAATTTCCGAACGCCAACAGGCAACAATGCAGAAATTATTCTGCAGCCAAAACTAACAGCCCCTTTGTTGTATACGGCACTATACGTATTCATATTTACACACACACACGTGCATATAGACAAAAGCTGAAATATCTATCACGCGTCGTTCATAGCGAGACATTCAAACGTAGGTATTATATTTTTTCCATTTTATTCTTGCCGTCGCAGTCCAGCAGTCCTTATAGGAATTATAATAATTATATAAATTAGCATATAGCTCGAAATAGTTATTTATTATTATTAGTAGAACATAGATCTCAAATTGTATGTTTTTGTATTGTATGTAATTGTGCATTTTTCATATTATATATGTAGGTATTATATTTATTTAGGTAATCAACAGATATAGGCTTTATCCTATTTATTTAATCGATACATTTAGGGATGAACTTATTCGTATAGGTACAGCATGTAAATTGTATAAATGTGTGATATTATGTTATCGTTACGTTGACGGTGAATATTTTGATATTCCTATAAATGGGTTAGGTTCTTACACGGTTTTTACACTCTTACACGTATACCTGTGAAAGATATGTAACCTGCGACTTGTAAGATGAGTGTTATATAAACAAAAAAAAACCGAACGAAATTCGCTCGGTCTGGCAATCCGGTTTGGCAAAAGACAACAATAATAATAATCCCAACAGTCCATCTGTTCTTCCTCTGCAGTAAAATCGTTACGCAAAGAAACAAAAAATCGAAGAGATAAAAACACGACTACCAAAAATCGTACTCACGATTATTTAACCATCATACATTTTATCGTTGCGAATCATATTATATGCAATCGAAGAAATGTTTCGGTAATAGTAAATATTAAATAATAATAATTAAGAACAATGATTTGAGTACAGCGTCAAATATTTGTATAAGAGAAATAAAATAAAATAAAATATCGTTTCATCGCGAGAACTGCACGAGAGCAGTCGAAAATCGAAATGAAAACTCCCAAGCCCTCGGAACGCGACCGTATACAAAATATCGCTAATTCCCTTACCCACTGTAATTTGGGGTGACTTTGGGACAGACGACCGACACCAGTGTCCGGGTCTGCGCGTGCGCCCACGTTTGTGCACACTTTCGCGCCGTTGACGGTCGGCGGGGAGGAAAATCTAGTACTCGCGCGGGGGATGATGATGTTTGTTTTCCCGGGGGAAGATGAGGTGGAGTATAAAAGGCGTATAAGTGAGTATAACACAGTGCGTGTGTTTTGACGATGTTTAAATATACGGCGACGGTGGTGTCGGTAGCGTTGCCGCCGCCGAACGGGTGGGCGAACTCGCACGGCGCTGACCTACTTACCGCGGCGCAGGTTACCGACCTCTTCCCTCTTCGTTTACACCGGCGGCAGCGGAGGCCCCACTTATAACCTTCAGCGCGATACACAAACAAGCGCTCACACGCACACACACACGCACACGCTCTCAGACCGTCGTCGTTCGCCGGCAGTGGCCTCATCTACCATTGGCGGCCGAAAGTCCCACCAGAAAAAAAACCGTTCGTTTTGCATTAAACAGACAGAGATTGCACAAGCCTCCGTCGCGTGTGTACACTCGTTTAATACATAGGTACAAATATTTTTTTTCTATTTCGTCTTTCTCGCTTTTCTCCGCCGCCGCCGCCGCCGCCAGCAGCGGCTCGATCATTCCCGAACCAATCGTCATCGATTGTACGCCGGTCCCGCTATCGTTGTAGCCGCCGCCGTGACGCAAAAGTCTGAAAACTTAGGGCGAAAAAAATTCCCTCGATCGTATTCGTTTCGCGACCCTCAAAGAAATGTTTTCGGTTTTGGCCGAAAACATATTTTTAAACCATTCTCGGTGTTAAACAGTCGCGGTGGCTGGGCGTTACCCCGTGTTCGCGGTCGCTGAGAGATAGATGCCGCGTGACGCGGGTGTTGTGCGCTACGGGGCGTGCTCGTGTGGCTCGTGTGCGACAAAAGATTGAAGAGAAAGTGACAGTATTCGCTCGATGACCGAACGCGCCGCACGGTGTCGGTTGTATTCTATATAAACGTTGGATAGGATTTTCTCCCATGTACGACGCCGCCGCACTCTCGTCTACGAGATATTATGATTGAATTTTTTTTTACTTTCTGCGACGATGCGACTACAGTAGCAATCATTATTATGTGTTATGGGGCAAATTTTTTTACACTGCGCCGTGTCACGTTTTAAATGATCGGACTTCACGCGCACATATCGACGAATAATATTTTTTACATTAAGCGAGGTAATTGTTTATCGTTGTATGTAATATACCAATATACATATATCACATGGGTATATGTATTTTGTGAACAGTTTTTTTTTCACGTGTTTGTGTGTACAAAAAAACATCGTATAGTTCGTAAAAAAGTTTCTAACACGATATTATAAATTATAATTATACAATAAATTAACAGTTTTGTCTTCGCCAAATTTTAATTGCAACGATATGTTATTTGTTGAACAGGAATTATGACCCTAACAAGTACCCCGTGTGACCTGAGTACCATGAGTCTGTTTCAAGACCTGAAACTGAAGAGGCGCAAAATAGATTCAAGGTGCAGCAGTGACGGTAAGATTTTGTAGACACCTATAATAATAGTATTATGTAGTATTTTTTTGGTTAACGATCTTTTAATTTTTACTTTGGTAATTTTGTATAAGTATAAGTATAAGTTTGTTAGGTTTGTTTTATAATCAGTTTTAATTAAAAAGCTAACTATTTCATTTTAACAAAAAAAAATCTCGTACAGATCACTGATCAGATTGAATTGATTTTTGTTTTGATTTGGCTCCATCGTGATAACTGATAAGTGATAATAGATATAGCAATTTAACCTGATTTTCATTAAAAACCTACAGTTCTTTCTTCTTATATAAAATACATTTGTACAACTCTTATACTAATGAAATGAATAGTGATTAAGACATATTAACTAATACTTTGAACTTAGGAATATGTACCATAAACCACTAAGCCACTAATATAATTACTTATTAGACGGTAAAAATATAAATATTATGTAGGTACCTATTTTATTACATTTCCTAGTTTATATAATATTTCTGTACGCAGTTGGTATCAGGTACTATTTATTAGTTTGCTTATTTAAAAAAAGATTGTTATTATTTTATATTTACATACAACCCTTAAAAAGTGTGTAATATTTCCCCACGTCCCCGCCCTTTACCCCTTAGACGTAAATTGTATACTTTTGCTAGTAACGATAAATATATATTTTTAAATTTTAACTTCCTATTTTCCCCGTTTTATTGAAATACTTACATTAATTTCAATTCATGATTTAAGGTGTATAAATTGCCTATTTATTGTTTTCATATAACAAATTATATCTAATGTTAAATTCAGCTGATTTTAAAGTATGATTCACATGATTTATTATTTATTTATATTTTATTCACTCTATTAATATCATAGTTTTAATGATAAATCCTGTAAATACCTACCCTACGATTTATTTTTATCAATTTTTAATTATTGAACATAAACTATTTAGACGTTTTTTAAATATATGTTACATAGCTACAGTAGTCTATGGATAAAATAATAATATATGTATAATGAACCAAACTAATTGTTGTTATAAAAACTAATTCCGTTACTTCACGTTAAATAATATTAATTAACAATTATAATATTGCTGTATGAACATACACACATACGCATTTATAAATTACATTTTTAATAAAAACAGAAATATTTATTCAAAACTTAATATTTACCACTGTATACTTATAATCCTGTCTATGTACCGTATGCATTATAATATTTATGTATAAAAGCCTCACAACGAGTACCTACTAGTTTTGGTCATTCCTTCATCGTCAAACCGTGACGACACGACGTCTATATATTATATACTTATTAATCGAAATTGACCCTAGCTACAAGCCGTTGGAACGAAATACTTAACCCAGTGACCGAAACAAATCGACATCCCAGACACGACATTTTTGTTGTTTTGACACTGAACCCGTCCGTATTATGACGATTCTTTACGAGTCACCGTATGTTTATTATCGGGGAAGAAGACGTATGTAGTAAATAGTAGCCGAAATAACGCGCATTAGGTACTATAAAATACTACAATACATGGCAATAAATACGTCCAAACCGTCCAGAATAGCTGGACACCGGCTGGTTTTCATTGTGCCTAAGGTCATGGGAACCTATCTGCAACACAACCCCTAATCATGGGTTTGTCACGGTGGTTTTTTGTGCGGTACGCGGGGTTTTTGCCCACGTGGCCGCACCGGTACGACTCATGGGAACTGACCTGACCCAATTCCGTATAATGTCATTTTTATTTCTTTTCATATAATATATAATATATTATAATATATATATATATCGGTTATTCCAAGAGACTTTTCCCCCCAAGAATCAGACGACCTATATTATCGTATAATTGACCAATAATCTTCGACGACAATAATAACAATATTATTATAAAATATAAAGATACACACCTATTTCCAAAACCAAATGTTTTCGATTTTTTTCCAAAAATTTCACACTCTTTGGTCAATTATACCTGTCATTCTCCCGACTTAAGCGAGTATAGGACATATATTTATAGGTACTTATTATATATTATTATATTACACTGGCGCTTAAAAATCGCATCATTCGGCGGTTCGGTGAAAACATTTCTGTTATTTCTGTTACTTTATTGTAATTCGCTGCGTATACGGCCCCCTAAGTGCGTGACCTAATAAGGAGTAGTCTAAACGATTTCGTTTATCTTATCTGTCCTAAACTACACTAGTGCAGTAGGTACCTAAACATTTCTTTGTGGGCCTATATGTATGCACGTACAACAATATCGGTATAACGCGTATACACTATACATCCATGAAAATAAACATCCTTAAATAGGTACTTCTTATTAACTATATTAGTTTTAAAAACTTTGTATTTATGTTTGGACAGGTGAGAGCATAGCGGACACTAGTACTTCATCACCAGACGTCGCTGGCCCGGCGTCCCCATCTAACCGAATGGACAGATCAGTGCCGTCGCCTGGACTTATCATATCGATGGATAGGTACGATTTATGGTGACATATCGGGGAGGGTGTTAAGGAACTAAGGCTTCAGATCGTGATTTGTAAGAGATTTTGCAACTAGCGACAAACATCACGGTTTTTAAACAAAATCACGTGATTGCAACTACAGCAATAGCCTCTCGTCTAAATATGTTTTTTTTACTATAATGTACAGTTGCAAAATCTCTCTGTTTATATATGATGTTTTCAAGAGTATTCGTAACCGTGGACGATCGACGATGTCTTAAGTATCGCATGAGACGCAATAGGCGATAGATGAAAATATTATTAAGTGGATTCGATTCCAACCGTTTTAAGGAGTTTAATGTAGGCAATTCTCTAAGTACTTGCGTGTGAATGTGTGTCTGCGACTGTACTGCCCAAGAGATAGCGGAACGCTCTGCACACGCGTCACGCACCCACATTTAACTAATCGTCGACTAATATATTTTACTAAAATATCATGAAGTACTTTTTGAACATCATAAACCAAAGTATTCATTTAAATGTTGAAAACATATTGAAAATTGTTAAGAAGTTCACTTGAGATCGACCACCCAACTTTTTTTTATTATGTATAAGTATAACCGTTGTTCTGTTTAGTGTTGAAACATTCTTAAATTTTTTAATTTTTTTTAATAAATGTAAGGGTAAAATAAGAATTGAAATTGTTTAAAGTGGGATGATCAATCTGAAGTGAGCTTGATAAAACATTTAATTCAATTTGTTTTAGATTTGTTTATCAAATCGATATTCAAATACAACCCCGAAACAGGAAGGGGTACATTTTTAGGTGATATACTTGCCTTTATAGTGCTCTATCACATCAACCATTAACGATTTAATAAAAATATCTCATCTAAACGCCGATCGACTTTACTCAATATTATTTGTGAACGTACTTACAGTTGTACTTACAGTTGTTTTGGGTGTGTGTGTATACAGAATGGCGTCGTCTCCGGAATGCGGCAGCATGACCACGGACAGCGGGCAAGACCCGAATGACGTGGGAGAAGGCGTCAAGGTCAAAGAGGAGATGTTGGACGAACCGCAACAGAAAGATGCGATCGGTATGGGATACGAAAACGGGACGGTGACCGATAACAAGGCGGAACCACCGTCGCCGTCGCCATCACCTTCGGCGGTGGTTACAGCAGCGTTGGCGGCGGCGGCGACGGCAGCAGCGCAACAGGAGCAGCAGCAGCAGAGACGCGAGTCGGTGGTGATGACAAGCCCGTTAAGTTGCGTTGTCAAGTCACCAACAACCCCGCCACCGCCACTATCGTCATCGTCGTTGTCGCCACCCTTGACTTGGACGACGGCGACTGCTCAAACGAATCCACCGCCGCTGCGGTGTTACACGCCCTCCTCCGCTGCCAACTCCATGTCGGTGACGCAGCAGTACCAGCAGCGTCGGCAATCCGTCGTCACTTCCGTGTCATCGGCGTTTTGGAACGCGGGCACGCAGACGTCGCCCGCGTCCACTGCGCCGGGTAACGCATCCGTGGCCACCGCCGCCGCAGCGTCCGTGCTGTCCGTGTGTCGCATAAATGGCGTCCGGCCTGAGCTCATTGGTGGTGCGGGATTCGCGACCACGGCTGCGGTCGCCACCTGCAACACTGACATGAAACCTCCGGCTGCCATACCCCCGCGGACCACCCGGTCTGCACCCACCGTCATAATGGGCGAAGCGGGTAAGTCATTACAATTTAAAATACATAGTATTATCGTAGGTACCTATATAATCATTTTGAGGAGTAGAATATTTTTTGGGGGACAAAAATGTAGTGCACGAAAGCATAATATATTATTATAATAACAGCCAAAGTTATCAATAACAGTGTTGTAATTCGAAGATAATTGTGTTTTAAAGGTGGAGTTCGGACTATGATCTGGTCCAGTCCACCAAGCACCGTGGAACAGTCTACGTCACCCGCCAGCACTGGCTGCGGTTCTGTACCATCAACGGTCAGCACGCCGTACTGGTCGTCCGCGGCCTCATGGTCGTCCAACACGTCGTCCACATCGTCCCCGTCCCCTTCACCCGCAGCGGTCAGTGAAGAGTCAGCCGCTCATCTACTGTTAAACCTTGGCGTGGCCGCTGGCCATGATGTGGCGTCTGTCATCAGCCACATGCCCGGTCTCAGGCCCATTGGTGGCCAGCTGCAGCAGACGTCAGTGGGCGGTGGTGGAAGTGGAGGTGGTGGTGGTGGTGGTGGCGGCGGCAACGTCACCAGTGGTGGACAGCAGAGCTTTCACGTGCCGCTCAATATGGAACGGCTGTGGGCCGGTGACCTGTCCCAACTCCCGGTGGCCGCCACGCATCAGATGCACGCGCTCAACCTGACGGCCAACACGGGACCCGGATGGCCGATGGCTGGTTCCAATGGTGACAACAAGTCTGCGCCTGTTAACGCATACCACCAGATGGAGGAGGCTGACGAACAGGAACAACCCATGGTGTGTATGATCTGTGACGACCGAGCCACTGGTCTCCATTACGGCATTATCACTTGCGAAGGGTACGTATTTAACATTAAACCCAACAACTGTTTTGTATTTATCCGGCTTACCAGCATGTAATATTATATATGATCTATACGTCCAACTAATATTTGTAAAATTTGAGGTAAATACTACGTGGGAGTAAAACCACAAAAATAGTTTGTTGACGAGTTTTTGCGTGCTAGCAGTTATATAACTATAACTTTTAAGGGTTAGTCGAAATGAGAACAGTCACAACGGTAATATACGTCTATCTGTATAGTGTAGATTTTTAATATAAAAACAATATAAGGGTTTAGGTGCATTTGAGATTGAGGTAGAATCAAACAGGGTTGAAAATGCCACCACATTTTGCGACAATGTATATGAGGAATCATTCTGCACGTGCCATTCATTAATCATTATACGCGTATCCTTTTTAATGACGTCACGTTCCTGAGGTTCAGAGTCGTATACGACTATCACATATATTGATTTCCAAGATTTTGAAGTCCTGATTTCGTCTCTTCAAAATTGGGTTAAAGCGCGTATTTTTTTCTGGCCTGCGGGAAAAACACACGGCACAGCGCAATGTCGCAAATGTAGCCACGGTGCGATGTATATGCATTATACGTATAGGTACGTATCGTCGTCGTAGTAACTGTATAACTCTTAACGGTACGCCTCGTCTCCCTCAAGGACGACGACTTTTTTTTACTACAAGGTTATAGTATATTAATGGTATTACGCGCACGTTTCCATTCATCCGAAACATGAGTCGTTAACACTAACATAAAAAAAATACAGCATTTATCGTATTTATTATTCTTTTTTTTTTTATCTGACAAATGTTTAACATTTTTCTTATTTCCAAATAGATGCAAGGGGTTCTTCAAACGTACCGTCCAAAACCGGAGGATATACACGTGTATAGCTGAAGGCACTTGTGAAATAACAAAAGCTCAAAGAAACAGGTGTCAATACTGCCGGTTTAAGAAATGCATCGGTCAAGGAATGGTGTTGCAGGGTAAGCGAATTGTGTCGAGAGCACTATTTAACTATATTCGTGAAAAGAAAGACATTATTGTAGGGAATAATGAAGCAAAAATAATACAATAATATTTTATTTTGTTGTGTTTCTATAATATAGCCGTCCGAGAAGATAGAATGCCGGGTGGACGAAATTCTGGCGCTGTATACAACTTGTACAAGGTAATAAGCTTATTAGTGTTGAGTTGTTTCTGTATGGTTTAGTGTCATGAGGGGGGGTATAGGTATAAGGTTTGTGAGCATATATTAATTTTCTATTTACGCGAGTAGTGACCAACACCAATGGTACAATAATTAATATAATTTAGTTATTTTTCCAACGTTTGTTGTTTGTTGTCGTTGTATTTGTAATACACGTTTATGATAATTAATAATAATGTACCATGATTAATGTTCTCAATTAATCAATTAATATTGTACTTTTAAACTCTATGTATTAAAACTATTAAAAATATTAAAAAGACAAAATTTGTTTTTCACAAAATGTATTAATAGTATTCTATTGCTTCTTAAAAAAAATATCACTGCTTAAATCCTTTTAATACCTATGCCACGTCACTGGTTATTGTAAAAGTACTTATGAGTAATGACACATTGACTAATATTATTATTATATATTCATTGTTATTGATTATTATTTATTAGTGATGATGTTACTCATGTTAGTAGGAGATTTAAGTTTAGAAATTTAAATTTTTCTTAAATGAAGATTTAAGAAATATTATATTATACTATATTTTATATATTATTATACGCTTACTTAAATGACATTTTACTAAACGACGTGCTTTATAGGTAAAGTATAAGAAGAAGAGGCCCCCGAAGAACGGACAAGTAAAAATGGAGAAGTCCGTCACATGCACCACGGCCAGTACCATGACCACGATTAAAACAGAAAACCAGGATAACAATTCCTCGTCTATGTCGACTCTGGTCAACGGCACCATACTAAAGACTGCACTAACGAACCCCAGTGAGGTAACTAATACATTTCAAATATTACGCCAAAGTGTCAATAGTCAAATATATATGTGTGTTTGTGTAATAAATAATAATATTTAACATGTCTATCATCATTGTTCCCCACAGGTCGTTTATCTCAGACAACGACTAGACAACGCCGTGAGTTCGTCGAGGGACCGTACGTTTTCGATCGAAGCTACGGTGAACATGATCAAGAACCTCATGGACTGCGACGAGTTTCAAGATATTGCCACTCTGCGGGTAAATAAACGATATATTAAAATTTTGTTGAGAAATGTGAAAATGACAGTAAATAGATAGATGATAGATAGGTAATTTTAACATTTAGTTATTTATTGGTAACGTAAATAATAATACTATGTCATTACATTAATTTGGAACAATTTAAACTTAAATAAGTAATCATAATAAATTCTTTAAGTTTTATATAATTATCTTTTGAATCGTTTTTGTATAATATTTAATTATTATATATAATTTGTTTGAATATTTTACTCATTATACTACATACTTATTTTGCTACTAAATAACGAAAAAAAATTAACATTAAAATCTAAATAAATTATTTACTACACTGAAAACGTTTTTTATTTTTACATTTTACAATCTGAGCTCATTAAGCAAATAAGATAATGTTTTAATATATATAAGTGAAAACTTTAAGGGTTATATTCCAATTCTTGTGCTGTAGAATATTATACCTATATATTAGGTACTTTATACCATAGGTATTGTGTATTTATGTGTACACATCGAAAACGAAATCGGTCTCTAATAGTAGTTATTAGTAAATTATTTAGTATTGTATTATTTTGTTGTTCAGTAAAAATACACATTATAATATTATTGTATCGTGTTTTGTTTATAGAACATGGAGGATTTACTCGAACACAATTCTGATCTGTCAGCCAAACTGATGCAGATCGGCGACTCAATCGTGTACAAACTGGTGCAGTGGACCAAGCGTCTTCCTTTTTACCTCGAATTGCCAGTCGAAGTAAGTCCAGTTAACTACCATGAACTTATGTGTAAAAAACTACTCTATGATTCAAGTTTATAGGGCTTACATATAAAAAGAAATTTATAAATGTCAATAAAATATATACTTTTATTAAATAATTCAATACCTACTATGGTCAATATACTCAATATGACAATACCTATTATAATATTATAAAAATAATTTCAAATACACTAATACTAGTAGGTACACAACTAATACAATCTTATTGTGTAACGTATACCTAGCACGTTTACGAACTATTATTCTATTATACGGTATATTTTACAGGTAAAGTGTTCAATTCAGACATTTCGTATTATATCTAGGTCCAAGTGTTTTTGCCAGAAGTAAAAATATTCAGATTTTAACTATTTAGCATAATAGCATACATTAAAATTATTATATTAACAATATAGTTATTTCATGAAACGACGAATAGAGTGATTTACAATAACATACAATTAAAATAATTAAATAGATACATATATTCTTCTCTTGGCATTTGGTATAATATGATTATTAATTCTATATACTTATAGGGAACATTCAATATCGATACGAGTTAAATTAAATAAAATACTATTTGTTACCTAAACTTATAAATTATAACTAAAAATCTTGGAAAGCAGTGGCACCGAACACTATATCCAGCCAGATCAATTGAAGAGAAAAAATCGAGTGCCATATGTAGCCATGTAGGAATAATTAACTTTAGGCTCAATCGTAATGTAAAACTGTCAAATCATTCTGATACACCCTGCTTTAAATTATAATACACATAGGAGCAGACAGTGTTTGAAATTTGGGGGGCTCAGGTCTATACTTGATACTCTTATATGATGCATTTAAACTACAGTATTAGAGTAATGAAAGTTTTTTTTTTTTGGGGGGGGGGGGGTTATAGAAATTCTAAGGGGGGCTAAGCCCTCCCCCCGCTCACTATTTTTGCCTTTGATTATACACAAACGGTGAACTGATGAGGGCATGAGGCGTGTTGCCATAACTTATTTTGATTACATTGACTTATACAGAATACATTTTACAGGTGCATACGAGACTTTTGACACACAAGTGGCATGAACTGCTGGTGTTGACCACCTCGGCGTATCAAGCGATACACGGCCCCCAGAAGATATGGAACTCCACCAACATGAACGGTGACCGGAACGAGGATTCCGAATTCCACCAAGAGGTACGGACCGATAATGCGATATAACGACAATCTATACTTTTCACGCGTATACTTCCTATTACATATTTCATACTAAACCGGGATTGTCTACAGGTGTTTCAAAATCTGTGTATATTGCAAAACTGCCTGTCCTCGATGATGGGCAAACCCATAACGATGGACCAGCTCCGGCAAGATGTTGGCGTAATGGTGGAGAAGATCACACACGTCACCCTCATGTTCAGGAGGTTAAAGCTGCGAATGGAAGAATACGTGTGCCTAAAAGTCATAATTATGTTAACACAGAGTAAGTACATTAAATATTACCACGATCACAGGCAATCCCAGAATGTTATAATAATCATTGTTATTTTCACTTCTTCTTCTTCTTCTTCTACAGATAATGGTAATACCACTAGTGAGCTGGAAACCATTCAAGAGAGATATACGTCTTGCCTGAAGACTTATGTCGAACACACTTTTCCCATGCAACCCAACAGGTTGCAAGATCTCCTTCAACGACTGCCAGAGGTAAAGTATATACTATAATAATATTATATACTCTTGAAATATAACGACCGTATTCTTAAATCGAATATAGGTACTTTCTGGCCTTATTCTAAGGAAATATATCAACAATTCAGTGGTCATTAGGTTATGGGTGATTAGAATAAAATAGTCGTTAAATGTTGTAAAAAATATTTTGAAAATGTATATGAAAAGTTTATCGAATATTATTTTGGTTAATATATTTAAGTACCGCCTAATACTCAAATAATTAAATAATACAAAAAAATGTATTTATTTATACCTAGGTAGGTGATAAAATACAATATATATATACATTTTTAAATAAGCTATTCTTACATTTTAGTAGCTTACATTATTTGTTTGAAATGTTCATCCGTCATCCGCATCTACCTATAATTTAATTAATGATTCTACAAAGTTCAAATTTCTACAGTTATAAATAACACGTCATTACCGTGACAATTCTATGTAAAATTGTAATTTGAAAATTTAACCGCCAGAAAATAAAAATTTAGTATTCAATACTATTCAAACACTTTACGACACTGCATATATTTAGTTCAATTCCAATACATTCTCGTATACCCATCTCACAATAATAATATAAAAATTATATTATACTTATATTATTGATTTTAAAATTTACATCACTTATTACTTCCTCACCAACTATCTACAGAGTATCAGTCATCAATATCCTTTTTTGGACAGTAGTGTAAAATCCTTAGAACAAGGCCTGCGTGTACTTCTTACTCGTCGCCACCTTAAAAAAATATAAACATTGTCGCGTGTGATTGACATTTAATCGCTTTATTAAATTAATTTACCTAACAATTTTTTCCCCCTTACAGATTCAGTCAGCTGCTTCGCTCTTGTTAGAGTCAAAAATGTTTTATGTGCCTTTCCTCTTGAACTCCACGATCAGAAGTTAGTGCGTACATTATGCACGGAGGATAGCTACTGATCATCATTATTTTAATAGAATAGAACCAGTTACCAAAATAATAACTATATATTATGTACCTAATATATGAAAGTGAAAACGAAGAAGAAATGGAAACGACTAGATTTTGTCACCCTCGCGCGCATGCGTATGTGAATGCTACCGTACCTATATTTAGTTAGTACGTATATTCATTTTGTAGGTAAATTGTGCATTGTTAATTGTTATATTATTATGTGAACCAGAGGAGATTCTTATATTAGGAATATTTTTTTTAAGTTTTTCTTGTTTTTTTTTATGTATTACTAATACGTTTCATTTTGTAACTCTTGAGTTTTTCCTTTACGATTTGGGAGTTATACAATCGTTGAATCCCAGCTATATGAAAGTGTCTATAATGTTAACATAATGTTAGTATAATAATATAATGTCCGTGAAAATTTGCCCCACGTCTGTATAAACTACGTATATAAATATATATCTATATATATATATATATATTATTTTAAGATAGTATAATTATTACGATACGAGAAAAGTTTTTGAAAGAGATTATAATAATAATAATAATATATGATGATGATGATATAGGTATACGCGTGTGGGTTACCTTTGTATTATTATTTATTATTAATTAGACTTAATTGTAGTAGTAATGTTATATTGTATTTTGAGTGTATAAACTGGCGCGTACGGTACCTAAATCATATTACATATATATATATATATATATATATATATATATATATATATATATTAAATGCGATAGTAGGTATGTTTTGTTTAAATGATGTAGGCTGATTGCTGAATTATATTATCTTCTCTCTCTGTGTTTCTCTACATCTCCATGCCCCATATGTCTCTTTCTCCCTTTCTGAGTGTTTCTATACGGTATACTCTCCTCCTTATCTTGTTCCAGTGGCGCTAGGCAAAATGTAATGGGCACCGTCAATGTACTGAATATTGACAACACACACACACACACACACACATACACATACATAATATACTCGAGATGGCTATAAATTATTTTGGTATTTCTGACAACTTTGTGATTTCTTATTAATATGTATTTATAATAATTATTATAGTAAAAATATAGTTTGACTTACATAATTTTCATTCGTCGCGTAATATGTATAAATATATATTACTTTCGTACCTATATTATTTTTTAAAAAATAAGTAAATACTTAATTTTTTTAATCGACACACTGCCAGTATATAAATAACAATTTTGCATTATACTACTTTTATATTTTCATAAAAAAAAATAAGTAAAAAAAATAAAACGTGAAAACTATATTTTTATACATTTTTCGTATAAACGAAGGATTAATTTTAATATATTAAAATAATAGTTATTTAAAATTTAAGTTAAATTAAAAAATTGAATTTCGTTAGATGTCTGTCTATATACATATTAACATATATAATATGTATAATATGCATTTCTCGACACCGTCTCAAAGGATGGTAGGTACCCATTTAATACTTAGGTTTTTCTTAGTAAAATCCAAATGCGCTTTGATCGCAACCGTATCGGTTGGATTGTTTTCAAATACCACCCTATTCCTTGAGCAATTTCTAGGTTACCTATACATACAAAACAATATGATAGATATATTTACCTCAAATAGATAACCTATTTAATATTCACGATTATAGATATATATACCTAACCGTTTAGGTAGTTACACTACACAAAACGACATGTTTAGATTTAAATCTATTGCTGAGTAGGTAGTCAAACATTAAAGTTACCAATTTATTGAAATATAATATAAAAGGACTCCTAAACTAAACAAAAAGAGATATTATTATAAATAATAAAATATAATTTACCTACGGACTATAAGCTACGTAGGCTAAGGTGCATTATAAGAACATAACACGAATATTAGGCCTCGAAAAAAATAATGTTGAAAATAGGTACACACATATTTAATATAATATATGTTACAAACATGTTCCTTTAGTTTAACTGATAAGAAAATTATTGTAAATTATGTCCAATGTATTTTTTTTTTTTTTTTTTGATAGGAGTAATATGATATTGGGGATAGGTATTATTATCTTGTTTAACCTTTTTTTTTTTTTGTTAATTTGTAACCTTTATTATTTTCTTGATCGTTATAAATTGTGTTCCAACATTACTAACGTTGTACTTGAAAACTAGATTTTGTAAAATGTTTAAATGTTTATTATTTGTGTAAAAGAAAAAATATTTATAATACTATAATATATATATATATATATATAATAATAATATTATATTATGTAAACACTGACTGTTTTATCCGTGAAAATCGGTGCCTTTGCGCTTGTTTTTGTTTTTTTAAATCATATTGTAACAGAATCTGTCGTTTTAATAAAAAATATATAATATAATATGTTTGATAGAAATGTAGGCTATAAAAATAATTTAAAAAAAAAATGATCTATCGAAGCAATAAAAGTAGTGAATTTAAAAAAATTTAAATAACTGAATCAAAAGACTTGTTTTATTATACCTATATATTAAAATAATCATTTTTTCAATTTTATACGAATACTATTGTACAATTTTTATTTTAACATTTTTACGTACACAAAATTTAATTCTCTTATCGATGGTTGTTTAAAATTTAATTTTAACCGTTCAATAATATAATGTAATATTTATTTCGGTTCCGTTCGATTTTTTTCGGAAGTCTGGAACATAAAAAGTGATACAGAATGTTTTTAATTTGGATAAAAATTTTTTTAGTTTTAATTAGTAAATTTCACACGATGGATGATTTCTTATGATAGGTTGAAAAAATAATGTTAGGAACACTCCACAGCTTGTCTCTCAGGCCTGTTATTGTTCAAACCATCTATGTAATGTTCACACAACCTTATTATATTCCATCGGTGCAATTTATTATAGCTTATAATCAATTTTTTAACGTACTTTCATACTGCAATTTAAGTCAATATAATTTTTTTTGTAATCATGTAACGATGATTTTAATTTTAAACACCCAAAATGACTGTAAAACGTTCTGAAACACTTAACAATAACTGCGTGTAAATGTTTCTTTTTCTTAAGAAATTTTAAGTAATTCATGACACATAAAAGACAATTTTATACGTTTCTTATTTTTTTTTTTTTTTTAAAACAACGATTTTCTAACAGAAAACAATTAATATAATATTTAATTAAAAAATTAAAACAAAATTGTGATAACTATTTGAACATCAAATGAGCTCAATTGTTTTTCTTTTTTTCTAGATAAACGTGAATTTCTCAAAAACATTTTGCTTTTAATTTTACTTTAATATTACATAATATTCACTGCATATATACATATTATAATATTGGTAGTATATATATATATGTGTGTATTTTTATTATTATCATTTTTTATTAAAATTTTTTTTAATGTGAGTCGTCATTTTTTCTATATAAATACGCATATTATAGCCTACATGACTTAAAACAATACGCTAGGAAATTATTTATATTTTGTACATAAATTGATATTTTAATTATTACAATATTTTATTTTGTAAATAAAAAAAACGTTCAGTCAGTATTTGTACAAAATCTATAGACATTCACTTTATACCTACTACTATAGTGTAATATTTTGATTTTTGATACGTTTCAAGTAAAAGATTATTACATATTATTAGCTAGGGTATTAAATTAATTGATTAAACATGCTGATTAAGTTTTAAAAGATAACATAATTATAATATATATTTGATGTTGTTTGTTTTATTTCTTTTTAAATGTCGATACTAGTGTAATATTGCATTTTGTTTGTTTGTTTTTATTTTAATTTTGTTTTTAATATTATTATTATTATTATTATTATTATTAGCCTATTTAAAATCTATGATTGGAAAAGAGAAAAAAAACTTTATTTTTTCTTCTGCAAAGCAAAATGAAAAAACATCTTTTACTGTATGATATCTTACATATAAAGCCTACCTATTTGTTTTATAAACTAGACAGGTAATTTGGTAAATAAATAATAAAAAAAAAATAACAATATTGTTTCTGTTTTATGTTTTATTATTTATAGCTCTATAAGGGCTTTATTATGGAAGTCGAATAATATAATATAATAAAATCGTCAAAGATTCGTTGTACCGTTTTTTATATAAACGCACATATATCATATATTATATATAGCCATACTTGGTAGGTAGATACTGTAATGGCGTATTATATGTCATTGTACGCAGTGCTCAAATTGGGAATTATTAAGTAGAAGACCTAGGTCCAACGATTTAAAAACTGCGTGTCAAGTGTAAAATTAATTAACACAGACCCATTGGGGGGCTTTCCTTGCCCCCCACATCACACCCCCCGCCTTTCCTAAATTTGGAATACTACATTTCAGCTTGGTTATAGCATTTGAACTTCATTATATTTCAAATATAATTATATTATAATATGTAGATTGTAGGTACCTAACTATGTAACTATAGTAAGTGAATATGAATTTATATTCGCCTTATTTTTCTAAATTTTTCCCAATTACATGTTATACATTCAGTTACTTGAAAAATACAACGAATTTTAGTAGGAATTTAAAACAAAATTATAATTATCAGTGATAATATCTTTTTGTGGTTCAGATAATCAGATGCATATATGTCATTTTTTTTTTTTTTTTATTAATTGGTAAAGGCTTCAACAGCATAGGTTTTTAGCCTGCATTATCTTAATATTTAAATACAAAGATATGGATGTACCATTAGAAGTTAATTCTAGTACTGATAAGTTATTTACAATAATTTATGATTAAGGTTTATATATTGAGGAAAAAAGCTCTGATTGCAACAATGTTCCCTTCATTGAGGGCTTGGTGAAGTGTGGTAGAGTTGTTGAGGATCTTCCGGGCTTCGGCGTGTTTGGGGCAGTTGATGACTATGTGTTCTATCGTTACATAACAGTGACAATACATAACAGTAACAAGTTACATAACAAGTGTCGCATACTCGCATGTCAAT